TGTGCATCGGGGTTACCCTGTCCACCGCGGAATGTTGATTTGGCCTGGCTCGCTGGGCTACGCCCACTAAAACTGACGACGCTCGCGTTACTTTGGTGCCGTCGCGGGAAACCACTCGAGGCAGCGCTTGTCCGCGACACGGCAGATATCGGACTGACAATATCTGCTCCGAAGTCGTTTCCCTCATCATCAGACCAAGTGTGTTCTCTTACGGCTTCCTTGATCGCGCGCTCAAGCATAGATGCCTTAAATAATGTCGAGCGATACGGTATACCAGCAAAAGTCTTATCGCTCTCGAAAACCATCCTAGTCATCCGGACGTACAGTTCTTTGCACTGCTCCAGATTTAATCGGAGTCGCCCTAACATCAAGGCGATTAGGCCGCCGGTGCCGGTTCCAACTATTAAATCGAAATGATCGCATGGCTTCGGGATTTGATCGCGTTTTGGTGCTTTCCCTTCGATTTCGACGTAGGTTCGAAGCATTATTTCTTGTATGATAATAAACATAGAGTAGCCGCGAACTCCTCCACCATCTGCGACCGCGCAAAGCGCCCGAGTTAGTCTTCATGTATACCTGATATATAGTATTAAGGTGGCGGGGTAAATAACTTACCCAAGCTAAGTATCCTCAACGGAGGACCTTTGGTGGTGTCTTTCCTCTTTAGATGTCCCTCCGACTCCATCTTTGTCGCGATGGGATAGATAACTCGGTTTTTAGATATGTTGATGATATATGTGTAAATGTAGTAGGATTGTAAGTTTGACAGAAAAATATGTTGAGACCGCCGCCCCGCTAAGTTCGCTGCTCTCGTCCGGTGACGACGTCAGTCTACAAGGTAAATGAACTGAATGTGACTGGGGACGCCACAATCTTGTCGCAAAAGTACGTATTAATTGTCGCGTAGAAGTAATAGGAAGTGCGAAAGCATAAAAATACCAAATTTTTCTTTTTAGTCAATGCTTAGTCAAATCGTATTAGAATAAGAGAGCTGAACAAGCGCTTACGATGTTTGACAATGTCGTTGAAGAGTGAATTGTTATTGATGGCTAAGATTCAAAGTTCTATCAAAGGCGCAAAACAGTATCTTTGTCCCGTGTGGCTGAGCATTCAATTCATGGAAGTCACTGTAAGGATTAGGTGCATACCTCACAAAAGACGTCACATGTACTTCGTTTAGCACAGCCAAGCCCGTAATATCTGGACATTGCTCAGAAGTGATCAGAGGTACCCACTACTAAAGATCCTCGGAAGATACGGAAGATACGGCATTGTACCTGAGTAGAGGGCTGAGTCTAAATCGAAGTTATAAACCACGTGCAGCTGCAAAAATTCCTTTCATTTCCCGTATCTTGTCAGCTGTGATTGTAAATCAGTTGCGATTGAGAAAAGCTATGGAAAATTAGATACTTCCATATCCGTAAGTAAGTAAACGAGGATGGCTCGTCACTATGAATATCTTGGATACTTGGAGGTATCCATCTGGATCTATGCATGGGTGGCGGCAAAAGTGTATGACGTCCAATTCTTTAGCTGTTTAGTTTTTGGCTCCCTCTTATTCAGTCACCAAATTAACGAGTTCATTGGTTGGCATCTTTTATTAGCCTACATGAATTAACGGATACCTGTTGACGAAATACCCAAGATTCGAACATTGTGGCTCAGTCATAATAGCGTATTTTCATTGGCAGGAGTGAGCGAACTGAGGGGATATCATTGCCACCGTGACTCTAGGTTGCATTTATTCATTAGGTAGTTTTAGAAACTCAAGAGCTCCACTGACAAGAAATCCTAAGAAGCTTTCTAGAAGACTTCCATGCAGGAGAATTTGATTATCCGCGCCGTGGCCAAGATGAAGATTATGACCTCGATCAAAAGTAGATCGCTGAGATTTTCGCTAGTGATTATTCGAGGGGAATGATCTACTATATACCCCATCCGAAAGGCACGTTCCATAAAGAAGACTGGCATAAAAGACTAGGACTTTGCCACGTCCTATTATCGATCCCGGTATGTCTGTGTCCTAGATATCCAGAAGTCGATCGTAGCTTTCCATCCCTTATCCTTACATGCCTATGCTTAACGTGCTCTCAAGTGGCGTTAGGTTTGCGAAGCCCGTTTGCCCAATGCTATTTGACCGCTCATTGTTGATGCGGTGAACCTAGAGGTGTTGGGAAAGGGATAGAATCTATATTCGGCACCCACCTAAGCATAGGCATCTCATGATCATATTTTGGTTAGTGTCTGTTCCTCTGTTTGATTCTGACTGCGGATGTAAACGTCAAAGTTAAACTTCTGCTTTGCTCGCGAGGTATGCCGTAGGTAGGATTAATCTCATGTTGAACATGAGATGAACGGATTCATGTTAACAATAGACACATACTCGACATTATCGTAAAATACTCGAGGTTGTAAATATGAGCTGTCAATATGTTTAGCTTGACTTGGGCAATTTATAAACCGCTGAAAATGGTATAACGGCTTCCCGTAGTCTCGGGAAATACGAAATTAGTGCCATTTCAATAGTGACACGGCATGGTTTGTCGCAACTAGAAACCAACAAATACCGCTAGCTCTAGGCGGCAATTCGCATTATCACCCGTTTTCGAACTTATTGGTGTGAGTGTGACTTCTAAGAGCAGGCGATATGTCGTTAATAGATAGGATTTTGATGTTCGGCATGCACCGTTCCAACAAGACGAAGGACCTAAAAGTCCGGAAGGATTCAATAAACCTTTTCTAGAAAGAACGACCGGGCAGCTTTCGACAAAGTCGTCTGATATTTCCAAATTTTTGGTCCCGAATTAAATGTGCACATGACTTGGATCCTATAGTATTTTCTTCTTTTTTTCTTTCCATGTATGTAGTTGTCTCGCACCAACGGAATACTGTAGAAAGCAGTGTTGACATACTTCCTATAACTACCTGACCTAGGTAATTACCTAGGTACCTAAGCCTTAAGGTAAGGAGGTAAAGGTGGTTCTCATTTCTAGCCTAATATTAAGGCTAGTCCCTCATTAATGACGCCGGGCGAAACGAGGTAGGGCTGCTATGTGGTTATACAATGGTACCTTACCGCTCATTAGAGCTGAAGGATGCGCGCTAGCGTTGAGAGGGAAGGTCGTGCTCTGATTCTGGCGTGAGTAAAATCGGGAGGATTCAGGTTGTGCGACGTCGCGTCGCACTCCGCGTTGTCGAATAACGAATCCATATTCCCTCCCCTTCACTTCCCACGTGGACAGTGGGTTGACCTAGTTTGGCCTCGGCCATATCTTTGCGAGTACGGCTGAGCTATGAATAAGTTTGGTGGCGATACTTTCTTTCAACCGACTATGTATGAATGCGGTTACATGCGGATTTGACAGAGACGTCATGTCAAAGAATGGTAATCTCGCGCTTCGTAAACCTCTAATCTAGAAAGCTGCAAACGTCCTAGTTTTCGGTCGGGCTAATTAAGACCGGCTCGCGTGTCTTTACTCCTTTCCGGCTACGGGTCGGCTCCGAACATTTTGCATGCATTATACCCAATTCAATGTTAGCTAAAATGTCAATCGAGTACCTAAGTAAACAATATTTTTCTTAGCTTATGTTAGGTAAGGGATTAGCTGTCGGGATCCGTAGACTAATATTTCATTGACAGACCGCTAATACGTCGTGTAACTAAGTATTATCACGAACTGCTTAGGTGTATTATGGTCAGATAATTAAATTGGTTACACAGAATCCGCTGAGTCACACTCGTGAAAAAAACAAAAACAAAAACAAAAAACATATGCATACGCGCAATAAAATCGTATCGGTGTACGGAAGACCCGAGGCTTATATGAAAAGAAAGATAAGCCGGGCTGGGCTCGTATGTATGTAACGAGCGTGAAAACTGATGATTAATCTTGGAAAAGCGGATTGAAAAGTTCGAATGGATTACCCCGAGCCTTTCCCCAGGCTTGGGGAATAGCCAGGGTCCCTAGCTCTCCCCAAGTTCTATTCGGCCCGTGGTGGAGACGCATAAATGGATTAGGAGGGAAGGGGCGTCACCACCAACTTCTCTTCATAGGACATTGACATCATTCCATACATAATCATGTATCATAATTGTACATACTAATATCGGGTACTGTCTATTACCTAAGACACGTATTCTCCAATTTTGCATCTTGCCGTCTTCATCGTCGTCGAGAAATTGACTGAGACAAGAATTCGACAGCAAGATGAACGCCATTGATACCTGTTCGAGACAACTAAGCGGACCAATTTTAGATTCTTAAACCTTACCCCGGAATTCTAGATTTGGTTGCATCTCAAAAAGATGGAATTAAGCCCTCCCTTACGCTCGACTTCTGCATACTATGTATGTGCCATAGAGAGCCTTATTTGCGTACAGAAATGATTATCCAAAATTCTGGGATGCTGTTGGTTCAATGTTAAAATGCTAAAAGCCTAAGACAGCTGTCCATCCATGCAACCCTCTTCCCCGACTGAACATTCCAGCAACCAATAAGCGCCGCCACGGGAAAGTCCCTCTACCCGTGGATTAGTTTGTTACCCGCATATGGCACGACGGGGAGGGCTAGCACGCGTGTGACCTCCAGAATTTTGTGGGCAAGTCCCACTGCCCTGGGAAGACCACTGTCACCTCCCCCATTTTTGGCCTCCCAGTTGGGAACACACATTACGAGCTCGAGCATTGTTGTAGTTGTGGGAAAAATCTAACGAGATCCGAACAAGGATAGAATTGCTTGTTTGCTCCATGCTTTTTTTCTAGTATGCCTTGATTCATACATCCCGTGACGATCTCGTAGCTTAGCTTGGACAGGCTTGATGGGACTGGGCCAATTACCTCAAAACGTTAATTTACCGAAATGCGAGAGAGCAAAGCTTGAGTGGGCCTATGCAAATCCGTGGGTTCAATGAATCTGGGGATCCGCATGCTATGTTGTAACGTCCCCCGGCCGGGGGCGCCACACAAGCAGACAGACAGGGCAATAGAGTAGGTCCAGTGACCAAACGTACCTTTGTTGCCAGATCAAAGCAACTGGGGTCCTAGGGTCGTAGCTACCTGGCTACCACCTGTTTGTAAACCTTAGGTATCTGTTTGTATGCATGTACCAACCTTAAAAAACTTACACCACTCTATGTAATCCTGGCCACCCCAGCAACAACCGTGGGCGCTCCTTCTGCATATAATAATCGATCGTCCCTCTCTCATCTTTCAGTCCTAACTTTTTGACATTGCTCTTCCTTGCACACTTCCGCACATAAACAACCTAGCAAGTCATATGTGCCGCTAATAGACCACGCGGGGTCTTAGACAACCATGAAGAAGTTTGGCAATATTTATCTTATCGCGGCCACGTCCGTCATAGGTAAGCTCTTCACCTATATGCCGCCGCTTCCTCTCGTTACTTGAGGCTTTTCCATTGTGGGATACTAATAACCTGGCTAGGTGGCGCGCTATTCGGTTTCGATATCTCGTCTATGAGTGCTATTATCTCAACTGCCCCTTACAAGTGCCAGTTTAACCAGCAAGTTAGTCTACTCGAGCTAGGAATCCCGCCTGCTATACTGTTAAGCTAACAATCGCAGGGCAACAAACCTGGAACGAATGAATGCCAGGGTCCAGATGCTATCGTACAAGGTGGCATCACCGCCGCCATGCCCGGAGGTTCCTGGCTTGGCGCTCTCATCTCCGGTGTTCTTACGGATATATTCGGTCGGAAGACGTCTATTCAGATCGGTGCTCTTATTTGGTACGTTCTCCGTGATGTGATCCACTCGCAAACGGATTTCTTCTAATAGTGAATCTTGCAGGATAATCGGTTCTATCATTATTTGCGCTTCCCAAAACATCCCGATGCTAATCGTCGGTCGTATCATCAACGGTATCAGCGTGGGTATCTGTTCGGCTCAGGTTCCGGTTTACATCTCCGAGTTGTCGCCGCCGTCTAAACGAGGTCGATTCATCGGAATGCAACAATGGGCCATCACCTGGGGTATTGCGATCATGTTCTTCGTATGCTACGGTTGCAGCTTCATCAATGGAGCCGCCGCTTTCCGTCTCCCATGGGGTCTGCAAATGATTCCGGCCCTTCTACTCTTCTTCGGCTTAACAGTTCTCCCCGAATCGCCTCGTTGGTTAGCAAAGCACGATCGTTGGGAGGAGGCCAAAGAAGTGCTCGTTCTGGTCCACGGCCAAGGAAACCCTGACTCTCAACTGGTCGCCAAGGAGATGGCAGAAATTAAGGAAGCGGTCGACTTCGAGCGTCAAAACGCAGACGTGTCTTACCTAGAGTTGTTCCGTCCCAAGATGATCAACCGAACTCACATTGGTATCTTCACTCAGATCTGGTCGCAGCTTACCGGCATGAACGTCATGATGTACTACATTTCCTACATCTTCACGATGACGGGCTCGGGTGATGATGTACTACTACCTAGCGGTATTCAGTTCATTATCAACGTCGTCATGACCGTTCCGGCTCTTATCTGGCTTGACAGGTGGGGTCGTCGTCCGACCATGCTTATCGGTGCGTTCTTCATGTGCCTCTGGCTCTGCATCAATGCTGGTTTGTTTGCCGTGTATTCGCATGCGCCTGCCCCTGGCCAGTTCGATACCGCTGCTATCTCCATGGTCATTAGTGGAAGACCCGCCAAGGCTGTGATCGCTAGTACCTACCTATTCGTCGCATCCTACGCGCCAACATGGGGTCCTTGCTCTTGGACCTACCCAGCTGAGCTTTACCCGCTTCGCGTGCGTGGCAAGGCTGTTGCTCTCGCTACGTCTGCTAACTGGGCCTTCAACTTTGCGCTCGCGTACTTCGTTCCCCCCGCATTCGCTAGCATCACCTGGAAGACGTATGTTCTGTTCGCCGTATTCTGTTTCGCCATGTTCTTCCACACGTTCTTCCTGTTCCCCGAGACCTCCAACAAGACTCTTGAGGAGGTCGCCGCTACCTTCGAGGACGACGGCCCCGGCTCTGTCAAATATATTGGTATCCCGGCTTGGAAGACCCACAACGATCGTTCTATTCTCCGCGTCGAACGCAACCTTGTCAGCTCCGAAGAAAAGATCGGCATTGAACATTCAACCTCGGCCAAGATTTAGAGTTGAAGAAGAGTTGTAACGGCACACCGGTTGCATGGTGAGGGGGAAAGTGGACAGGAGCGTAGGATGTTCCAAGGATGTTCCAGGACATCGTAATGGAAAGCATGTTTTCGTGAAATGTTGAGAGGGGCGTGTTTGATAGGAACTATCAGGACATAGGTTTATTCCCTATAAGTTTTAAACCCACGGGCTGATGAAGAGCTCGAGGTTATATACCCCAAAATGAATACAAGACATTGATTAAATCACATGGTTCATATTTGCGACTAGTTGCGACTAGCTATGTGCATTTGTATTGGAGCCAAGTAAAATCTCAAGCTATAAGACATAGTTACCTACCTACAGGTATGCAACGTGAAAAAGGTAAGTTCAATTCTTATACTTAGTTAATTCCAAGAATTCTTGACATAACTACCACTAATTGCCCGACTCTATTATTTTCACTTCTTTACGGAATACCTTGAATCATTGTAGAGCAATGCGTAACCGTTGAAGAGTACATCTCAACAACAATTGTACCAGCCAATAGAAGGCCTTGGAGCCGAATTGTTTATCTATCCGGGTCGCTCTTACCTAAAAAGTTCAAACCGGAGGCAGCCCTGAAGCTTTCGTTGGAGCTAGTCCCCTGCATCTCCGGATCTTCAAAGATGAATAATATCTTAGTATACGTGCTTACATGATAGCGAGGCTTCCATTAAACTTCACTCTGCATGTCGCATAGATACATAACAACTGCGGGGGTTTGGTTCAACAAAAATATGTATCTAACGAAGACTTGGCATAGCAGGGGACTCCAGAAACATGGACTAAACATGGACTAAACATCGAGGCCAAGCAACGCACCACATCCCCCGAATCAGCCTCGCCCGTAGCCTGATCATTCCCAATTTCTCCCCATCTCGCCCTTCATGGTCTTTCTTTAGCACCATCGGCGTTTTATCATAGTGCAGATGATTTCCAATATTTGAGGTGTTGCACTTTTTTCCATATTTACAATTGCTGCCGAGAGCCTCCGTCGTCGTGTTACGCCTTCAATTGACATTCGATGGATCAGCCGGCGGCAAAGAAGAGAAGGCTGGCTCCTAAGATCGAGGCTCAAGCCAGTCCTCCGCATCCGCCTCCATTCCCCCACGAGCCTGTAGGTATATTTCAATTGATGTACCCATCGACTCGTGGACTCACATCAATAGGCGCCGCCCGCACAGCTTTACCAGGTCCAAGAAGCGCCCCCACCGCCCCCAGAAAGACATGAGTTCGAGTCATTCGCGAGGCATCTGCAAGATGCCGCCATGCTTATATATCGACAAACCCAAAAATCACCATATACAAAGACCTCTGTCCTTATTCTACGCTGGGAAGAAGACAATGCCGTCGAACATGACCTTGCCGCCCTCGATCAAGTCCTCTGCGATCGGTATAATTACCGCACCGAGCGTTTCAACATACCTACGGGTTTGAATCCTAGCGTTAAACTCGGCGTTCGTATGGCATCATTCCTTGAAAAGGCGGCACCCGATCACCTATTAATAATATACTACGCTGGACATGGTTATGTTGATACGGATAATCAACTCTACTGGGCAAGGTAGGTCACTACACGTTAGCATGGAAGGCACTCTAACATGCGATCAGTAATCCGGAGGGAGATTCGAAATTAAGATGGAGCGGAGTTCGTTGTCTCTTCGAAGATATTCAATCTGATATGCTTCTGCTTCTTGATACTTGTGCCGCTAAAGAAGAGCCGATTTCAGAGGGTAGCAGTGTTAAACAGATCATTGCGGCTAACTCACCCGAGCATTATTCCCGAGACCACGGTTTACGGTCGTTCACATCCTATGTTATAGAAGCATTGGCTAAATTCAGCGGCGGGCGACCTTTTACTTCCGAGCATCTATATCACGAAGTGGCTATTCAGAGACAGCAAGAACTAATACAGGCGTCTGGGTTAACTAACGGGGCTGGCAAAAGCATAGCGCTTACTGAAAAGTTACCGGTTCTATACGCTCTAAGTTCTATCAAAGGTCAAGTTATCTCTATATCTCCCCTCCCATCTCACGCTGAAATGCAATTACGACCCCCGCAAGCTGGAATTGACGGAGATGCCCAACTGTTGAGGACGTCCCGGGAAGATCCAATTATCCACCCAAACGCGGTTGCAGACTTAACGTTCGATGAGCCGAGAGTATTGGTTTGTACAACTTTTGTCGGCGAAGCCAGCCCGGACATGTCTTCGTTCAACCACTGGCTTCACAACGCCCCTGCTATTGCCTCGAAAATTGCTGTTGAGGGCATGTTTCTAGGGCCGCCTACGATGCTGCTCATTTCAATGCCGGTTCCAGTCTGGAACGTTGTCCAGCACGATAAAGTCTGCTGCTTCTTAGGATATGTGAATTCCCATAATATGACACATCTTTACAATCGATTAGTCGGTTCCGTTTCCGTCAACAAGGCATCGGCGAAGGACGTAGAAGACGGCCGGATGCTTCTCGAAGCTCGAGAAGTGGCTGCGAGTACGCCGGTCGTCCGCCGGCATGAACTTCCTAGCCATTCTCAGCTACGACCGGAGACGCCCATTCGTCTGGAGAGCATGGGCAGGCTTGATCCCATGACCCTACCTCAACCAGCTGGTACCCCCAGTATAGCGTATACTAGCTCGAGGCCGGGCACCGCCATAGCCAAAAATGATGTCGAAGATTCAGCTGAGATGCAGGAAGCTGCTGAACAGTTGAAGGCTTTGAGCCATGTTCGGCCCTTGAGTAGCGATAACATATCCGCAGCTCACGTACAAGCCACGCCTACAGAAAATACGACCACTACTCGTCGTGATGAAGTTTCGCCCCACGAGGCAAATGAATCTGGCGCAGACGAGACTCTGTACAATCCCGAATTCACACCGCCATCCGCACGACCTAAACAGCAGCGGCGATCGCTTCAAAAGCAAGCGCCAAAGCAGGAGACACGCTGTAATCACTGTAGTCATGCCCCCTTTAAAGATTATTCATCGCTACGTAAGCACATTGCTGCGGCTCATACTCGACCATTCCCTTGTGCCTTTGCCTTCGCTGGTTGCACTAGCACTTTTGGGTCTAAGAATGAATGGAAAAGACATATTGCTTCGCAACACTTGTGTCTCCAATATTATCGATGCTCATCTTGCCCACAGAGCACGGTTGAAGGCAAGGGGAATGAGTTCAACCGCAAGGATCTCTTTACACAACATCTTCGTCGCATGCACGCCCCTTTCGCAATCAAAAAGGCCCTCGCGAAGGGCGATAGTAAATTACAACTAGATTGGGAAACGCATGTAAAAGATATGCAGCAAACATGTCTCGTGACTCGGAGACAACCTCCACAGAGATCCTCTTGCCCCAAATCGGACTGTGCGAGTGTTTTTGAGGGGCCTACTTCTTGGGATGAATGGACTGAGCACGTCGGTAGGCATATGGAGAAGGGCGAAGCGGGACGACTCGGTGTTGATCGCCTTTTAGCAAAATGGGCCTTGGAAGAAGGTATTATTGAACGTCGGGATGACGGCGAATATCGGCTGTGTAGCGGATCCAATAGTAACCCCGAACGGGAATCCGCCGGCAACAACCTCGAATATCAGTCCGACGGAAACAAACGAGACAGAGACAGAGACAGAGACAGAGACAGAGACAGAGATCGAGATCGAGATCGTGACCAGGAACAGGAACAGGAACAGGACAGGGACCAAGAAGACCGCACCATAATAGCAGCGAGTACGATGGTGGACAAAATGGACGTGGACGAATAACGCTGAGCTATATATTATACAGAATGCTACCCAAAGCGAAGCATTCGGGGGGAACTTTTTTTTGAGGGCGTAGGGATCGGATGAAAATTACGTGCCTCGCGAGGTCTAACGGGGCAGGCTTACGAATTTCCTTTGCTCATTTTACCGGGTGTATCCCAATTAGATGTGGCACGATCACCTGACGTTTCTATTTTGTTCAGCGCAGACTACAGGGACGACTGTACGACTATATACCACTTTCGAGCATGCTCTTGCGAATGTCCATCGGGTCGGTTGTTTGAGATAGACATTAGGAAGGGGAGGGAGGCCTGCATAATTTGGTTCGGTATATTTTTTTTTATCTGGATCATTTTGAGCGTTGCACAGTTTAGCACGCATCTGGTGGTCATACTGCGGCTCCGGATTGACTTGGGAGTCGGGTGTTTATATTTAACACGATGCAAATTCGTCTTTGGCCGTTCTTGTAGAGTAGCTTTAGCGTCATAATTCGTTTTTAGAAATCTTTTTTAGAATGGTTGCTATGTTGTTATGGCGGTGACGAGTGGTGATGACTGGGTAGTTTTTCCATGTTAACATCGCTGTAAGGGTACCTAGGTAAGGGTAGGTAAATATGATGTCTTCATTAGTATAAAGTGATGCGCAGACATTATCACCAAGACAACTAGTCCTCTTGGCGACTGACTTTTTAACATTCCACCTTTCTGTCATCGAACAGATATGTATATACTGCTAGGACACCGTTCTTTGCTATGCGGTCACGCCTCATACTTACATTTGGGCATCTGCTTCGTATAGCCTCGGTTTACTCGGCGAAATTACATGTTTACCTAGATCCTTTTGCTGTCCATAGTCTTGCGGAGACAAGCCCAACTCGGTGTTGTTCCCCACATGGTCATCCCAGACAGAACAAACAAGCTTATAAAAGGGGAGCTTATATAGAACGGACCAGGTTCTATCTCGCACTTTCATTGGTAGTTAGAGCAAACTGGTATGGAGCCCCTGCGGGGGAGCTCTTACCTACCTAGTAGCTCGGTGCGGAGATGAGAAGCTGCGGAGAAAAGCGCTTGACCGCGCTTAGTCGCGTTGACCAGTCTCCTTGTTCCTTACCAAAAGCAGGCTGACCAAAAGGTCCGGGGAAGCTCCGCGAAAGCGCCGCCATCAAAGAAAATAAGAGCCTCCGACTTGATTTCACTCCGCTCTCTTTAGCTAGGCACTCCGAAGCACGTACAAGTAAATGTTAAGAGAGCATCACGTGGACCGAAGGAGCGCCGAAGCCGGTATTAAAGTCCTCCACTGCTATCGTATTTGATGTTCCTCGTCAATTATGACCTTACATACAAGCCTTAAGTCTTATACCGCTAGATTACAACTACTCTTGCTAAGAGCCATGATGACATGGGACATGGTTGAGCGGAGTAGCAGTGGGAATGTTGGGGTATATGCGGGGGGCGGAGCTTAGTTGATCACGATCCTACGTTATTAACATGGGACGACTCTTACGTAGTAGACTAACTAGGTATTGTAAATATGGATGTATATATAAGTCCCAGGGTAACACCACGGCACATGGAGGCGTTCTGAGACAACCTCCTAGTACCTGGCACATCCGACCAGAATGGCAAGCCTTCTGTCGCTTATTACGGTGGTGACGGCGGTCTCCGCTGCCGCTCTCGCACGACGAGACTATCCGACTGACGACCCTCTCACTTCCTGTCCGGGTTATACCGCTTCGAACGTTGTTAGCACGGCGTCGGGATTGACGGCGGATTTAAAGCTGGCCGGTGAGCCATGTAATGTGTACGGGACGGATCTGAAAGACTTGACTCTCGAAGTCTCATACGACACCGGTATGACAAGTTATCACAAGCACTAATGCACGAGGATCTCACTAATACCGCATAGAAACGAGGCTCCACGTCAAGATCCAAGATGCTGCTAACAACGTCTATCAAATTCCCGAGTCCGTCTTCCCTCGGCCAGAAGCCAAGGGCTCCGAAGAAGCGCAGTCGGCATTGAAGTTCGACTACACAGAAAGCCCATTCTCCTTCTCCGTATCTCGCTCTGACTCAGGCGAGGTCCTCTTCGACACATCGGCTGCCAACATAGTGTTCGAGTCGCAGTACCTGCGTCTAAGGACGAAGTTACCCGAAAACCCGAGTCTATATGGCCTCGGCGAGCATTCAGACCCTTTTATGCTGAACACTACTGACTACATCCGCACATTTTGGTCGCAGGATTCATTCGGCGTCCCCGAAGGCGCGAATCTATACGGAAATCATCCCGTGTATTACGAGCATCGAGAATCGGGTACTCATGGCGTCTTCTTCTTGAACTCCAACGGTATGGATGTCTTGATCAACAACACGGCTGAATCCGGACAGTATCTCGAATACAACACCCTCGGTGGAGTATTAGACTTCTACTTCGTCTCCGGCCCGAGCCCGGTCCAAGTTGCGCAGCAGTACGCTGAAATCGTGGGCCTGCCCGTGATGCAGCCGTACTGGGGATTGGGGTTCCAGAACTGCCGGTACGGATACCAGGACATTTTCGAAGTGGCCGAGGTAGTCTACAATTACAGTCAAGCTGGCATCCCGCTCGAGACTATGTGGAATGATATCGACTACATGTACCGTCGAAGAGTGAGCTTACATTACTGTCTATGAATATTGCTTGTTAAACTAACAGACGTTAGGTATTCTCCTTGGACCCGGAAAGATATCCTCTGCACAAGACGCGCGAATTAGTTGACTACCTGCACGCGCACGACCAGCATTATGTCGTTATGGTGGATCCCGCTGTGGCTTACCAGGACTTCCCAACTGCTTTCCAACGAGGTGTTGATGACAACATCTTCATGCTTCGCGAAAACGGAACCGCGTGGAAGGGCGTTGTCTGGCCCGGAGTTACGGCCTTTCCTGACTGGTTCTCTCCTAATATCTCCAAGTATTGGAACAACGAGTTTTCTCTTTTCTTCTCTCCTGAGAACGGAGTAGATATCGATGCCCTCTGGATTGATATGAACGAACCTTCCAACTTCCCGTGCTTCTTCCCTTGCGATAACCCTGACGCTTCTGCTGAGGGATACCCGCCAGACCCACCTCCTGTCCGAACTCCTCCCCGAGCTCTGCCCGGCTTCTCTTGCGACTTCCAGCCCGAAGGGACTGACTGTAAGAAGACCGAAGTGAAGTCCCTGGAAATCCGCGATAGTACGCCCCCGGCACACTTCGACAGCCTCTTCCTCTCGCCGCTCCAGACAGAGGGTCAGCAACTTGGACTACCAGACCGTGATCTTCTCTTCCCGAAGTACGCGATCCACAACAAGGCCGCGTACACCGATAGCGCGAATGCAGCTGAGGGTGGTATCTCGAACAAGACGGTCAATACAGATCTGGTTCACCAGAATGGCCTGACCATGTACGACACGCATAATTTGTATGGCACCATGATGTCTATTGCATCTCAGGAAGCTATGCTCCAGAGACGTCCTACCGCGAGGCCCATGATCATCACCCGCTCGACGTTTGCCGGAGCCGGTACTAAAGTCGGGCACTGGCTAGGAGACAACGCATCGACATGGCACCATTACCGCCTTGCTATCAGGAGCATGATGGCCTTCGCTTCCGTGTATCAGATCCCAATGGTAGGCGCTGATACATGCGGATTCGACGGCAACACCACCGAGCAGCTCTGTTCGCGCTGGGCGGCTCTCGGCGCGTTCGCACCATTCTACCGTGTACACAACGGCCTCGAAGCCATTTCGCAAGAACTATACCGCTGGGAGACCGTAACGCAGGCTGCGCGCAAGTTCATCGATATCCGCTATCGCCTGCTCGACTACATGTACACGGCGCTGCATGTTCAGACCCTCGACGGCACACCCATGGTCAACCCGCTATTCTTCCTCTACCCGCACGACAAGAACACATATCCCCTCGACCTCCAGTACTTCCTCGGCCCGGGCCTGCTTGTGGCCCCTGTGACCGAGGAGAATAGCACCAGCGTTGACGTGTACCTCCCCGACGACATCTTTTACGACTTCTTCACGCACGAGCGCATCGTGGGCGAGGGCAAGGCTATTACCGTCACGGACCAGGAGTGGTCGGATCTACCGCTATTCCTGCGCGGCGGCGTAATCATTCCCTTGCGCACCGAGTCCGCCATGACGACCACCGAAGTACGCACCAAGCCCTTCGAGATCATCGTCCCTGTAGGCAAGGACGGCAAGGCAAGCGGCCGCTTGTACCTCGACGACGGCGCGAGTATCGAGCAGCCGACCACGAGCGATATCTTGTTCGAGTACGCGGACGGCGTGCTAACTGTCAACGGCACGTTTGGGTACAAGCCGGACGAGCTGAGGATAAGCAAAGTTACGTTCTTGGGCATTGGGGGTGGGGATTCTGGGAATAGCAAAGGCAAGAAGCGCGCTGCGAAGGACGTGGTTACGGTGGATGTAGATAGGACGCTTAAGGAGGCGTTTACTGTTGAGGTTGGGAAAGCTTAAAATACATGGTAAAGGGAAAAGGGGGGATGAAAATATATTGCATACATGTTAATACGTATTAAGTCTGTTTATGTATAATGTGTAAATAATAAAAGTGCATCGTCTAACTCTACCTGTTTATTTATCCGTGAAAAGTAAAAAGTAAAAAATAAAAAGAAAATAAAAAAGCTCAGTCCCAGATTCGAATCCCCTCGGATAGGGGCAGAGGATTCGAACCCAAGACCTACGAAAAACCGGCTTCGTTAGGCATCTGCTGTCAAGTCACGTTCTTTGGGAAGAACGGTTCAGCATAAGACACCACAGTGGGGTTTTCTCTAACCTCAAGTCGCCCAAGCGAGGGGCGTCGGTTGAAAGTTGGTTTGCAATTAGGATATATAACTTTTACTTCGGTACCTAAGGTAAGGTACTTGAGATGAGGTACCCAGGTAGATATCTCGTTGCCTGGGTACCTGGGTTTCTACTTCTTGACTTGACTTTTGGGTACCAGCCAGCTGCAAGATCATGACTTGTAACATCCTTATCCATTCTACTCTTCATCCCGATTCTAACAGTAATATCAGTAGAGCCCTAATTAACCCGCAGCATAGTCTATGGGCCTCCGTAAAGTACCGAGGATAAATGACCTCCGGGATGTCCTCCGAGATTTACGTATTAAATATACCGCTTGGACGGCGGCGTCTCGGTCGCTAAAACCGGACTAGACGGGACCGGTCCATCGGTGCTCCATACTGCAATAAGAAAAATTACTCCCCATGGGGTGTCACGCGCGATATTCCTGGGGAAGTCCTGCTTCGACACCGAGGCCGGTAGTACGTGGTCGCATGACCTTCCCGCCACCGAGCATTTTTACGGGTTTCTAGTTCTGGACTGGTTTTATGTTAGCCTATGGCGTTACACGCTGGGCGCGGCGCAATTATATACGGGAGTCTAGAGCGGGCTTGGATATGGGGCGTCGGAAATATCTTAGGGAGAGACCGGGTGGTAGAATGGGGAGATAGATATGGAAGCAGATCGTGTGTGTGTGTGTATAGGTTAGGTTTATGAGGAGAATAGAGATAAAAGAAAATATAAGATGTAAAATAAAAAGAAATACATAGAAATATTAGCAAAGGAGGTAATAGGTAATATAGCCTGTAGACTTAATGGAATAAAACCGATGAGGTGTGATAAGTGAAATGAAGTCGTGCAAAGTCGTGCTACATTTTAGAAACTCAGACAGAAAGACGGTACTAATATTAATATATCTTTCCTTCACCGACCCATTAAAATTTTTACTGTCACGAACGACGCCATACAGCAACCCAACGGGTGGACATGATTGGATCTAGCGTTGCCCATGTGTGGTTGGCAAACAAACTTGCCGGCTGTCTTCTGCAAGTACCCTACTCGAACCCTTCCTCTTCTTTTTAAATCCTCTTCTTAAATAGGTCAAACACTCTAAAGAGCCCTCGAGTGTCACATTACAGAAAAAAAAAAAAGGCACTTGCAATTTTTTTGCATTTTGCATTTTCCACCACATCTTTCAAATCCGCTTTTTTAATCCAATTTTCAAACATTCATCCCTTATTTCCCACGTTGTACCGTCAACTTCAACACCCACAATTACGGCACCATGGAGGTAGACGATCCCTTAGATATATCTAATGGCACCTGTTATTATGCCGTCAACACGGAAGCTAAGAAGGACTATATCCCTTGCGGCAATGTCGACGTCGGCTTGGACTGGCACTGCTGCGTTGCTGGCGATATCTGTCTAGAGGACAGTGCATGCTATCATAAGAACTGTAAGTAGTAGTCTTAGATTACTTCCTACATCCTTTAAGAAATAAAAAGACCTATTGTTCTAACAAAGATCCCTCCATGGTTAGATGGTATCACCTACCTGGCGGGCTGCACCGACCAAAAATACAGTGCGCCCAATTGCCCGTACAAGGGGAAGTACGGCAGCCAGCAGTGGACGGGACTACAGCGCTGCGATGACAATCCCGATATTGAAGATGGCGACGATATATGGGCAGCGTGCAAAGAAACCGGAGACGTGCCAGGTTCGAAGCCGCCTGCTCGCTGCAAATGCTCCAGCGACACCCAAGTCATCTCTGACAAGCCGAAGCTCGACAACGTCGCGCTACTTCCAACAAGTCTGGGCGGAACTCTATCCTGGTACGGTGGCAAGAAGCCATCTGTAGATCCAACTCTGGTGACCACTACAATAACGGTGCCCTCGACCGAGACATCATCACTAGCATCCTCAACATCGTCCGCAGGATCACCCACCACATCGTCCTCAGACTCGCCAAGCACCCCCACGCCAGTAGACTTAGGACCAGGCGACAGCAGCCCCGTCACGCCTCCCACAAACATACCCAACGCATCCACAAACACCGGCACAGGCCCAACCCTCTCCACAGCAGCACAAGCCGGCATCGGCGTCGGCGCAGGCGTCGGGGCCCTACTAATCGGGTGTCTCATATATCTAGCGCTCCTCCTACGCAAGCGCCGCAAAGCGAAGACTCACGGCTCCAGCCTCGACTCCGCATCCACGGCGCGGCAGGATCTCCCCAGCGCCAACAACCCACCGAGCTCCCTCGCACCACCACCGCCGCCGTTCGGCCAGACGTACCCCAGCTTCCAGTCGGAGCTCGCGGCCGACGAGCCCAAGAGCGCAGTCACTACTACTACTACCGCCACGGCGCCTGTCCCGTACTCCCCCTCCGCAGCCTCGATCCCGTTCTCGCCCACCGCGGCCTCCTTCTCCTCCTCCCAGCAGCAGCAGCAGCAGCAGCAGCAGAAGCGGTATACAGCGTACAACCCAGCGCTACACGGTAACTACGCCGAGAAGAGCGAGGCGGCGGCGGGCCAGATGCCCGTTTCGCCAATGAGTCCGGAGCCGCAGAGGAGTCCTGCGACGGAAGAAGTGCCTGGGGTGCATGTCCATGAGTTGGAGGGTTAAGGGGGTGAATGTGATAAGGGAGGGGATAGGAAGGGAAAAACTAGGTACCGAAGGCGTTATTATCTGGAGTTAGGGGTTACGTGATACTAAAAAAAATTCTCGATTGGCTCCGTTTCAGACTGCGTTTACTGCGTCAGCTTGGTATTGAAGCCGTGGACCTTACTTAGGACAGACGGTGTAGTTGTCGTTGTCGTTGGAGGGTGCGTGATGAAAATGATTGATACAAATTGACGATTGGCCGACGAGGATAATGTGGTTTAATTATATACCTACCTACCTAGCTTAAATGAATAAGTGCATCGTTTATGCGTATATGCGTCTAGTCATCATTAAGTCCCCGTCTCCTCATGTCGTTGACTTGCATCCGATGTCTTATTGTAGTCTTTGTATCCATACCTAAGTCTGATAGTTATGGAAGGTAATACAGCAGCAAGTTTTTCCGCCCTCCATCGACGGGAAGTGTTCTACGTGGGCGGCTAATATGCACTAAGTGATGCCGGAAACCATACCCGGCAAGGACAAATGTATGTTGAAAGACTTGTTCCCGCAGAGCCAGATAGAGGGAGAGGGAGAAACGGGGACCCGGCAGTTGGTCGATCTAGCGCGCGTGAGGGCTGCGGAGGTGGCGAGGTGGCGAGGTGGATTGAGAGGATCAGGCAGTGGTGTAGAGGACATCGGTATTGGTGTTTTATGCCCAGGGCTTGGTTTATATTACGCAGTGCGGATTATACACTCGATGGGCTCAGGAAGGGGGCCTTTTTCGATAGATGTGGTCTAGTTAGGGGTGGTTGGGTTGTTGATAGGGGGCCATGAAATAGGAACAGCGTTGGTTTTCCTAGCCGTTAAAGCAGGAGGCAAAATACCTATGCCGTGTAACTGCACCATGCGATGATCTTGTCTACTCTAAGCTTTGTCTTAGATCCAGCCAGTATCTCGTAAGCCAGTTTATCCCGGTGGCGCGGGAAGTGCTGAAGCCGTTACCCAGTTGTCATCATGTAGATGAATGATCGGCGGCCTTAATTAGTTTTTTTTTTTTAAAGGGGTACTCTGAGATTGTCCAGATCTATTGAGGATAGGAGGGAAAAAAGGAGGAAGGGGGGCTGGGAGTGTGAAAACATATATATTTATGTGGAAGACGACCTATATATTTATGTCCTACTTGTCAAAGCTCTCTGCGGCTTTTGAAGTATCTCGGCCGGGATGTGTTGAAGTGGTCGGGCGTCGCGAGACTCTTTCCTCAGATGATCATGATAATCTATATCGACTGAGGCGATTTCCCTGTAAGTAAAGACATCGTTTACTCGTCCGGACTGAGAAAGGTGCGCCTTGCGTACCCAAGACCTTAACCCCGTCCACGAACTTTCAGGTATTTGCGGCAGCTGCTCTAATTGTATCATCATCTCAGAATCGTTAGGATCATGTGGGAATTCCCTATGATTGTGCTTTCGATAAGTCGAAATGAGTTTGAGTAAGGAATCCCGCAGGGTGGTTCGAGTCAACCTGCGGAATGGGACGAAGACTATCGGCATACAGCTACAGGAAATCCCTACGTTAAGCTCGGCCGCTCTGGAGAAATGGTGTTAGCTCGCCTATGGAAATGCAAAGAACAAAATGCCAGTGATGGTCGTCGTAGCGCTTACGCGAACGCAGATACCAAGTGTCCAAACCAAGTGATATCAAGAGATCGTATCGCCTTCACGCGATACACCGCGCAAAGAAGAGAAAATATACAAGCTCTACGATGGCGTTAGAATTAGGCACGTAACTTCAGGAAATAGGAAAGCCCACATCAATCCCGTAAGGAAAATACAGCACACGCCAATCTTCCGTTTCGATGGGAGTCGGAGTTTAAGAGTAAAAGCCACGGGTATCGCAAGTAAATATAAATCCGTGACAGCGCTAAATACACTCGTGGTAATCCAAAGAGGTTCCTGCGGTACTAAACAATCGACTTCGGCATCGGTGTTGAACATCTGCGCTGTTGGAGTGTATCCGTTGCAGGTGACCTGGATTGTTATGACGATGATCAAATAAAAGAGTATCACTACAGCTAGCGTTGCCCAAATGAGGATCCTAGCACCCTTCACCGGGTTAAAAATACGAAGATAAAATATCAGAAGTGTCGCCTTGATGAAGACCGCGGCAGTCGAATAAACGTAGCTTGGTGCAAAGCTATACTAGGTAACATTAAAATTAGTTAATGAAGACCACAAGTACCTTCTAGTGCTTGGGAGAGACATTTATACTTTCAGAACAACCCTCTGATGAAATTCAGACACCGGTATGTCCCATTGATGGCGGCCCATCATGTTATCAAAAGCTATTACTTATAGTAAGCCTCTAAGCGTATGGGTACAGATATACTAGCTGTGACGAACCCTTAAGTATAAGAGAACAGTAACAAGTGGTACCTATCTGAAATACAATTAGTTTCTTCTGATGGGTTACGGATCTGGACACTACTAACCGCTGAGATGAGGCAGAGGTCTTATAGCTACCACATTAGCATGTTCCTCTAACAGGTATGGTATAAGGAGAGAACTTACAGTCTTCTATCCCAAAGTTGCATGTTACCCACACTCGAGTATAAACCCGCAAAGTTAAAAAGCAGTACATGATTGCTAGCGTCAAGCCTGTGAGTATTCTAGAAGTCGGAGCCATCGTCGGTGGGTCGATAAAGTTGGGCGTTATCCCCGGTGGAGGCGCCAAGCTGGGCATTTGAGAATAATCAAGATTGATGAACATATTCGCTCCATTCATGGTTCCATACATTGCATGCGATGTTTAGGCGGAACCCCTTTCTTGCTGTAGAATTGCGAGATGTGTCAGGTTACTACAAGCAACTATACTCAATAGATAGAAATATACCGAGGGATACCTAAAGCTTTATGGTACCTTATAAAGTTAAAAGCAGAATGTGTAACATTGCTGCATAGGTACTGCCTCGTGGCATATAGGTATTCGGATGATTTAATAGTGGCCATTGCTGACAGCTCGCGAGTTCCGAGACATACAACGAAGTTAACGTAATGCCAGAAACGAGGCTTTTGGCATTATACGACATGTTCATATCCTGTTCATTGGGTGTCTCCCTTCGAAGTCTCATTCGTAAGTGGTAATAATACCACGCAGAGGTATACGATGGGAAGATCGGAGTAGGATGCAGTAGCGTTACGCTTATACGAGCGTCGTTTTCTAGAACACCGAATCTCGTTGAAAACTCCACTAATGGAAGGTATGGTAACCAAACATACAATTCTGAGTTGAAGCATAGCTCACTGAAATGAGGAAGACCTGTGTGGTTCTAAGAAGGGAGGCTGTATCCAAGACATCTCGACTCTGGAAAACGGAGAGACGCGACGAAGGGCCTTAAATTTTCTGAAATTCCGCAGGCCACACGTCTTTAGTCCGTCCATAACAGATCTTGATTATATTGGTGCGGCTTTTACAAATCACTTGTTGAGAAGATGTCTGAATAAAAATAGCAACACGAGAAGGCGTTAGAAAGCACTGCCCTCTTCTCAGAAGCACTGGCTGGATACCTGCCAAGAGGTCAGTGTATCCCTAATGATTCCTATCGTAAATCTATGAGAACAAAAGATGACATAAGGCACGGAGCTGAAAGCATTAGGCTAGGGATCCATGCAGACGTGGCTTCGGTGAATCAGAAGATACCTAATGCAGTGACGTTAGGAATTCGGTGAGTAAAAATAATTTCAACGTCGAAGATGTCCGGAGAGATACCCGATGGCTTGCGCCTAAGTCCTAGTGGTCCAGGATACGACTATCTATAAGTTTCTACAAGATCAGATATAAAGTCACCTATTAGCCCTATACGATAGACTTGTTAGTCCAGCTACCCCTATCAAAGCTCCCCGAGTATGTAATTCGTTTGTTATTACTAAGCACCAATATGGATAAAGCCTTTCAATTCCGTTATCAGATTCGGCTTTGTTTCTTATGCACCTATCAGAGGTTTTATCTTTTCTAGCAAAGGGCGCATTTGCTATTTTCTATTCCGTATTCTGTCATCCAACATTCCATTCAGTCTTCCATATCATTACGTACTTGGATCTATCATGCCGTACATCCGAGTACCTGATACTAACATGGTAGAACCCGTCTCTTAGGTTTTCGCCGCTAAGGACTTTTGCTTTGGTGTTAAAAAATAGAAAATAAAAAAAGACGCCGTCATGTCTACCATGTCTGCCATGTCTACCCGAGGAACAGGGGTATAGCACTACGACCCTTGGTAAGAGGTAGGCAAGTCCATACGACGAACCACTAATACCATCCTAAAACTATCAGCAGCACCATTTGATCCATGGCCGTGGTATTACCCGGCCTTGTCTAGACGCAATGCGGATGGCGAGATGCGCCGAGATATAGCCCACACGCCGCGAGACGTTTATGTTCGCTGCGATTGCGTGATTGGTGCTAACTCTTTTCAATGATCGGCTTACATGGTTACAGACCAGCAACACGAACTATGTCGCTATGTACACAATGCAACCGGCCCTGCGGTTGGATCTATATCTGTGTTGGGAATACCACCCTAAGATAAATAAATAAAAACTTAATATATGGTGTGTTCCTCGCGATTTTCACTCATCCTACCGCGTGACCTTCGTTGGTGCGTCGAGTCAGCACGCTGTCGAGTTAAAGGGAAGTCTTGAAGTTTTACAATTAAAAGTGGTTTATAACCGCCAAGTATCCAAGTTTATCCTTGGCGTCGATATATTCCAGGAACTCAAGCCGCCGAGATGCCTTCCCGCCTTTCGGGCGATGCCAAGGACGAAGCCAAGTTCTCTAGTGCAACTCCCGCAGCTGAGCCTCCAATTAACCAACGACCTCCTTCGATAGAGGACATAGTTAAGGACGGTAGCCCAAGCAAGGAAAAGCTTCCTGTCGAGGATGCCGTCGAAGTTGATGCCGATCTTGAGGATGAAAATGACCCCGAGATCAGCCAGATCCCTCCAGAGGTGAGGCGAGTCGTCAGTCTTCACGATGACACGACTTTGCCCACCTTAACATTTCGATATTTTATTCTCTCCATTCTCTTCGTCATCCCAGGAGCTTTTCTATCTTCGATGAATAGCTACCGAACCACGTATGCGCCCTACTCGGTTTTCTTCGTCCAGATCGCCTCCAATTATGTCGGCCTCTGGCTCGCGCGCGTGCTTCCTAACCGCCAATTCCGCATTCCCTTCACCCGTTGGTCTTTTAACATGAACCCAGGTCCATGGTCGGTCAAGGAGCATGTCTTAATCACTTTAACAGCAGCCTCTGGTGCGACAGGCAATGGAGGCACTACGCCTATCGCGCTTGGCGACCTCTACTTTAACGAACGGCTTCACCCCGCAGCGGCCATCTTTTTCATGTGGTCCATCGATGCTACAGGGTACGCTTTCGCCGCTCTCGCACGTCAAGTTCTACTATACGAACCGGCATACCCTTGGTTCCAGGCCCTTTGCCAAGCTGCGCTTTTCGAAACCCAGAGTCGACAGAACAAGAATCCGACTCCGACCGCGCGCAAGCAGATGCGCGTGTTCTGGTGGGTGCTCCTCGGTATCACGCTCTGGCAGTTCTTGCCGGAATACGCATTCCCAATGTTGAACTCGATGGCCTTTTTGTGCTGGGTTGCTCCTCATAATCCTGTTGCTAATTTTATCGGATCTGGTCTTGGCGGAATGGGATTTCTCAATTTATCCTTTGATTGGGCGAATATCGTGAGTCTTCTGATGAAATTCCAATAACGCATAGATGAAATCATACTAACTAATTTGAAAGTCCAACTATCTCGCCGGAGTTCCGCTATTTTTGAGTCCTTGGTGGTCGCAGGTCGTACTTTTCTGTTCCTTCGTTATGTCGTGTTGGGTGTTACTGCCCGCTGCAAAATGGGGACACCTTGGAAGTTATCCTCATTGCTTGATGACGAACCGAGCTTGTACTGCTGATGGGAGCAGATATCCTGTCACAGATCTAGTCACTCCGCAAAATACCTTCAACCAGACGGCTTACGAAGAAAACGGCCCGTTGTACCTTGGCGTTCATTACCTATGGTCTATTTTCTTTGATTACGCCTCTTACATTTCGGCTTACTCTTGGATCGTGTTCTTTGGGGCCGGCCAAATCAGAGACGGGTACAGGAAATTCCGCGCCCGCCAGAAAAACCCGGGCCAAGGAATCAATCATCAATGGTATGTCTTAAGAATACCCACCAGTAATCTATCCTAAGGTATTCATTGAAACTAATATGTCCACAGTACGTTGATATACCTCGTTATATCACGAGCCAACCTCCATACATCGTGTAATACTAACGTAAGCAGATTCGGACAGATTGAACGTCCTGATGAGATCTTATAAGGAGGTTCCTCTGTGGTGGTACATTACGCTGTTCCTCGCCTCTTTTACATGTGTCATGACATTGGTTGGAATGAACATCATATTCATTCCCTGGTGGACTTACTTGGTGGCACTTGCGACAGGAGCTGCTATTGTCGTGCCTCTCGGCTGGCTTTATGCCATTAGCAACTTCCAGCTGCCCATCGGAACGTTCAATGAATTGCTATACGGTACAATGGTTCAAAACCTAAGTACTAATCGCAATCCCATTGGAGCTAGTGTAAGTCTGTCGTCCTGACGAGTGTTTCGTATGCTAATCTTGCTCATCAGGTGTATGGTGCTCTGGCTGGTGGCGGTATGATACCCTTAATCCATCGATTACCCGTTTCCACTCAACTTCCTCCTCGTAATGAATACTAACAATAATAATAGCCTGGTATAGGGCCCAGTATATGTTGCAAGATCAAAAAATAGGGCATTACATGCATGTCCCTCAACGTACAGTTTTCTTCTCGCAAATCTTCGGGATCACTATGGGTGTACCGATCAATTATGCAGCAATGCGCTGGATCATGGATTCCAAGCGCGACTACCTAACTGGAGCCGTTGATGATCCAGCCCATATCTGGACAGGTCAAAGTTTAGCCGGCTCTTTGACTATGGGGGTTCAGTATGTTTTACTAGTAAGTTGCCTTGTTTTCTAGTCTCCGAGTACCACGCATGAACGCTAGATACTAACGCTATTCAAAAGGGGCCAACCCGACTCTTCCAACAAGAACAGTTCCGTCCTCTCCCCTACGCTTTCCTCGTCGGCGCGGCCTGTCCGGCCATCGTATACGCGCTCCACCGGCTATTCCCTCGCGCTAAATTCCATCTTTTCAACACCACCATATTCTTCAGCGGCGCGTCCATCTTCTACGGCAACGTGTCGACTGGGTACTTCTCGCGTTTCATAGGAGGTTTCGTCGTTATGTTTTGGGCGTACAGGTACCGCTACCAGCTATGGGCCAAGTACAACTTTATCCTCGCGGCCGCGTTCGACGCGGGGTTCAACCTGAACATGCTCTTGATCTTCTTAATCTTCGGCAGCGCAAAGGTCATTGGCATGCCGAATTGGTGGGGGAATGATGCGGCCAGCGTGGAGAAATGCTATGCGCTTGAGTAGAGTTGCTGTCTTGCTGGGTATCTTGTTTTGGAGTATATATCCTATGGAGATACTGGTGCTAGATTTATATTAAATAGGCGAGGCTTATTCGAATGGATATTCAACCTAATCACTACCTAATGTTTCGTATATTAAGATGATTAGAACTTTATTACTATCTAAATAGATATTGGGGAGCCTTAGGTCGGGCTGGGGATCCAAGGTAACATCAGGATCAATTGATATCGATCGCCTGGTTTCAGCAAGA